CTGCAAATGAATAAACCTTTCCTGTGTGAGCTGGCAGCTGGGCGTTCTCTGCTCTTGTCTGGGTTTGCACATGACTAGCTGCAGGCTTGAGGGATTTGCATTAGCAGATCGTAAGTAAAAATCCCATTAAAATGACATTCTCCTCATCGTTAGGATCCCTTTAGTGAGGCACACTGGATTGCCAGGGACATTTCCTGGAGCTACCTGATAATGGACTTACCTGGCAGTCTGTCCACCCTGGCGAAGGCTTTCTGAGGTGTGGGGCAAAGGGGCTGGGCTTCTGGAAACACACAGCTCCCCTGTGGTAACTGCCTCCCTCCCTGGGCACACTCCTGAAACGCTATGTGCGTACCAGGCCCCGGTTTCAATGCCCATGAGCAACATCGGTCAAGTGCTTAACCTCCTGGCCTGGCTATGGAGGCAGGAGGGGGGAGACCCTGGTTCTAATGCAGCCCCCATCGCTGGCCCTATTGAACGACCTGGCCTGAGCTATATCGACTTAAATTTGATACATTTTATGAATGTCATACTAGCATTATTCACATTTACCCATCCCTAAATTCTACTTGAATAATAAAATTCTTGTAGCCCATTCTTTGGGGAATAAAGTACCAACTCAGTAACAGGATATAAAAAGCCTCTTGGGATTTGATTGACACCCGCTCCTCTAAACATGGGTCCTAATATCTCCCAAACTATTCCCCTCCCTCCCCATCCCTATGGCCTGCCACTCCGGAAGCCTACAGTCTCCTGAAGATGGATGTCCTGCTCATCTCCCTTCCATCTTGGCTGCCTGGCTCTACACCTCCAAGCCCTCTGCACTCCATTCAGATAACGTCCCCTCTCAGGGGCTCTTCCAGGCCCCTATTCCCAGGTCTACGTCAGGTGTCTCCAGAACGGGTTCCCGCAGACTCCCCCGACCTGGCCCCTGCCCTCTGCCCCAACATGTATTGCATAGGATTGTAAAACGTTTCTGTGCTAGTTTGCTCATGACAGTGGACACTTCTAGAGAGCAGGGTCTTCTGTTCTAGCAGCTGATCCCTGGTACCCAGCACAGAGCCTGGCACATAGTTTGTGTTCAGAATAAACTGTTGAATAAAGAAAGAAATGAAGCCCCATTAGCCATGAGAACATGTATTGTGCTTCTGGGATCCCCAAGGTGGGCCAGGAATCTGAATACATATAATACAGTAGTAGACTGGCTTGAGCCCTTTCTGGCCCAAACCAGAAAGTTTTGCAATAATTACAGAGCCATTGTTGGCAAATCCATTTAAACCTTTGAAATTAGATATCAACATAAAAGTGGAACAACACTGAAATCCACAGAGTAAAAAATGGCAAAATTTTAGAATTTAAAATGCTCCATAAAGTGAATAAAAAGATCAGTTCATCATCAGGAGCTTTAAAAAAAAATCCCTGGATTTGTCTTCTCTCTTTCCCTCTCTCCCTCCCTCATGTCATCTCTCCCTTCTTTTGATCTTGACATCCCTTCGTTGTTATGCAAACATTTACTGGGCACCAATGGTGTGCTCAGGGCTATCGTATGCACTGAGGAGCTGGAGAGAGTACCACACAGGACTGCCCTCTAGGAGCTCAGGGCAAAGGGAGCAGAAAGCAGGATAAATGGGTTACCAGGGTACAGTAAGCACTGCGATTGCATGCTGCATGGAATCTGGGGAGCACTGGGGAGAGGGAAACCCCTCGGGGTGGAGGGGGACCCAGGGTGGCTTCCTGGGACAGGAGACGTAATCAAGTATGTACATTCTGAACACCAAGTGATTTACATCCAAGAAACTTCTGGTAAGGTTCTGTCTACACAGAGAGCTGAATAAGGGAGAGAGGGGTCTGGGGCTTCGTCTGTGTGTACCACTGGATTGCTACTATGAGTGTGGTTGAGGTTTCCTATATCCTACCCACTGTGGCTCCCTTCAAAGGGAGGGCAACAGTTGCGATGAGCTGGGGTTTGTGATAAATATTTTTAATGTTTATTTTTGAGACAGAGGGAGAGAGAGCACGAGCGGGGGAGGGGCAGAGAGAGAGGGAGACATAGAATCCGAAACAGGCTCCAGGCTCTGAGCAGTCAGCACAGAGCCTGATGCGGGGCTCGAACTCACGGACCGCGAGATCATGACCCCAGCCGAAGTCGGACGCTTAACCGACTGAGCCACCCAGGCGCCCCAATGTTAATTTCTTTAGTAAAGAATGCCATAAAAAATAAGAATGCTATGGACTGAATTGTGTCCCCCCAAAATTCATAGACTGAAGCACTGCTCCCTAGTGTGACTGTATTTAGAGACAGGGCCTTTAGCAGGTGGTCAAGGTTAAAGGAGTTCATAAGGGCGGGGCCTTAATCTCACAGGGCCTCATAAGAAGAGGAAAAGTTATCCCAGCGTGCGAGCTCTCTCGCATTCTCTCTCTCTGTCTGCCATGTGAGGACAAAGTGACAAGGTGGCTGTCTACAGGCCGGGAAGAGGGCCGTCACTAGGGAGCTGAATCAGCTGGCACCTTGGTCTTGTACTTCCCAGTCTCCAGAACTGTGAGAAATAATTATCTGTTGTTCAAGGCCCTGGTCTGTGATACTTTGCGATGGCAGCCCCTTGACTGCCTTGACTAAGACAAGGAAGAAGACAAGGCTTAATCAAAGGGAAGGTTTGACGGTTTCAAGAGTTTCATCAAGACTATAAATATTTTGCATCTCAGGGATAATTCTGATCTCTAAATCAAAAATATTTAAAATTTGAAAATGAGAACATTTTAAATTAGCAAGCTCATCAAGGAAACAGCATAGTGTAATGCAAAGGGCAGGTCCAGGCCGTGGTTTGCTGTGTGACCCTGGGCAGGTCACGAGACCGTGGTCCCCTGCCTCATCTCATCCACCGGGCAGGCGAGAGTGAACTCAGAGGCAGCGTGCCTGGTGCAGAACGGATGCTGGCGAATGAATGGTAGTAAACGGGATCAGAGTAATCTGGAAGGTTTTCCATGAACCTCAGTCCCTCCTTAAATTCACCCCTTTGGGAGCAGATTTCAGAATTCCTGGAGTCATTATTCTGTAGAACCAGAATTCCTTCCTCACCTATTTTTAATTCCAAACCCTGTGACTTCGTTTGCCTGTATCAGTACTTCTCAAACCCATCTGAGAAAACGCTGCAGGGCACCTGTAATTATCCTGGCCAATACAGCAATGTTCTTATTAAAACCCCTAACAATACAGAATTTATTTTAATTCATCTCAATTTGTATTAGGTATTTAAATATATCCCATATAAGCCATATGGCACTTTAGAAGGCAGCTGAGAGGTTGCCGGAAAATCAAATAAGCAACGTCAGGATTTCACAATTTCTGCAATACCCAGAATTCCTAATTCAGAGGAACATATACGAATCCAGATGCCATATTTGCAAAACCCTGGGATCCAGCAGGATGAGATTTACTGGGAATAGATTAGGCAGTTGCCACTGGGCTTCCTAAAACATCTTTCCATCAGCTTGGTGGCCCTGACCTTGTCCCGTTGCCTGGAGTTCCAGCACTGAAGGATTCCCTGAGGTTAATGAATCTATCTTTTAAAGAGCATATGTCTCTGCTTCTGTGTGGATGAAAGGGGGCAGCCACCATTCTCCTCTCAATATAAATGACTTCCTTCTGGACTGCTTCCCAGTAGCACTCTCTGAAACCAGCCCTACCTACCTGGGCCTGGGGGCTTACGTAGTACAGGGGGAGAGTGTCTGGTAGATGCCCGTGAGTAGGGAGAGGATTCTGGAACACTCATCCCTAGACAAGGTGAGGCAGGTAGCACACACCGTGGGTTTTAGGGGAAGGCAGAAGAATGAAGTTCCCAGAAGCACTCAGGATATGGGTGGGGTTCCAGACAGTATGATCGCGGAATGGGCATCATATCATCTGCTTCCTTTAGCAGGACCCATTCTACAATCCCCTTCCTGTTCTGCTGGCATTCTCCATCTTGATAGTTTAAAACCATTTTTGTTATTATTAAAAAAAATTATTTTATGTTTACTTTTGAGAGAGAGAGAGAGAGAGAGAGACAGAGCACGAGTGGGGAAGGGGCAGAAAGAGAGGGGGACACAGAATCCAAAGCAGGCTCCCAGCTCTGAGGTGTCAGCACAGAGCCTGATGCAGGGCTCGAACCCACGAACCACGAGATCACAACCTGAGCCGAAGTCGGATGCTTAACCAACTGAGCCACCCAGACGCTGCTAAAACCATTTGTAAAAATCCGCACGTGCCTTCCCCCCAGCCTCCTAACCGTTCAAGTCTAAGTGAAGGCTGGCTCCAGGCCTTCTGCCAGACTCTTCCTCAGAGACACAGCCACCCAGAGAAGTGACCGCCCCTTCTGCAATCTCAGCCCTGCACAGTCCTCGGAAACAGACACTTCAAAGCTTTTCACTCAAACGAGACACTTGATTTGTCATTGACAAGTATGACACAGTAGCCCTTGTGATCACAAGTCAGGAAGCTCTGGAGTGAGTCATAGGGTTTTGCACTTCAGAAAGGGACGTGCACTGCTCAGTGTGCTGTGTCACTGTTTACTTCAAGGTCCTCGGGTCCCTTGTTCTCAACCTGTGTCACCAAAAAGCAAGGCTGCACTGTCACCCAAGGGAGATAACAGAGCATCAGAGAGGAGACATGGGCACTTGTGATAGAAAGATGTGTTAGCAGAGATCACAAACTGAGCTTGGACATCAAGAGAACCAGCTTCCCAGGAGCTCAACGTGGAGCAAATGGACAAGATACACGTCGACGGGTCCGCTGACAGGTGCACGGTCCCGCCTGGGAAGTGTGGCCCTCCCACCCCCAGGTGGTCTTGAAGGCAGCAGTTTCTATCGTGACTTTAAGATGCTGTGTGTCTCCCTGAGCTGATTTTTCCCAAACTCAGCAAGTCAGCAGAACTTTGAGGGGCGTCGTGGCTGCTCTCGTCACTGGAGCACACCTACCGCCCCTCCCAATGGGTGAGCTGGGGTGAGGGGTGAGGGGAGCGCCCTACCTGGTCCAGCTTCCAGTGGAACTCTGCGGGGCGGAAGGTGTCGGCCTGGTCGAAGTCCTTGCGCAAGAGGAAGACCAGGCGGCAGTTGTGCACATACAGGGCATAGTGATGCCGGTTCATTTCTGAAAAGCAGAAAGCGATCGGAGTGGTTGCAGAATCACTGCATCGGTCTCTGCCAGAGGGGTCTTCCCGCTACATCACTTAGAGCGCCTCAAAGGGGAAAGGGGTGGGTGTTTCGGTTTCCCCATACACAATCAGATCTCATGAATGTTCTAGAACACACATAGTGGAGCTCACTGAAATGGAAAAGGAAGGTGCAAGAAAGTCCACAGCAAAACTTAGGCAGAGAAGCCATCTGGCCTTAGCAACCTGACTTATACTGAGATACTGCATCAGACACAGGATAAAAATTATATAGGCTAACGAGTTTCGTTTATTTTTTATACAAGTACTTCTGGGAGGGCTAAGGGGGCTCTCTGACAGTCACGTCAGCTACCCTGGGCTCCTTTAGCACAGCTGGTGTCTCCTAGAGTGCTGGACTTTTATTTCATTTCATCAGGCTTGACAATGGCGACCACAGATCATGTCTCCTTCTCTACCTGATGGTGTGCAGTTAGGGGGAGCGGCTTCATTTCTGGTTGCTAGGAGGAGGGGGCAGATTGATTTTTCAGCGTTAGTCATAGTTCCATGTCTTTCCAAAGCTATGAATAAATACCTCTCTCCCCATACATAGTGGATGGGATATTTTCCTCCACTGATATAAAAGACTTCCTTTTCTGCTTAGGAAATCTCACATCGTGGGTCCCAGCCATGATGTCCTGCAGCCACAAGATGACAGCCATTGGGAGGAGAGGAGCTGTTCTTTGACCAATACTCAAAGAGCTGACATGATATACATGTTAGCATACACAGAAATCTACTATGAGGCACATGATCCATAAATGACGCATGGATGAGCAGGTGACCAGGTGTCATAGGAAGAACACGGGCCCCAGAGTCAGATAGACTTTGGGTGGACTTGTATCCTCCAGATGGTTCTGGGAGAACTTTTTAGCTTCTCAGAGCCTCAGTTTCCTTACCTGTGTCATGACAGGGATGCTGGATTATCCTAATGCATCAGGAGAATAGGATAGTGAGATTGATTCTTGTACCTCCTCTACAAACCTCAACACCAATTCCACCTCTAGATATGGGCTCTGGGTGGTCCCCTTGCCATAGTCATTGGTTCGGGACCCAGGCCCAAGTCAGGCAACGCAGGCCATTCTCCCGGCCCCAGGGCTTCTGTCAGGAAAGTGACTCAGTTCAAGCCCGTGATTCAGGAGCTTTTCTGAACTCTCCTTTTTTAAAAATCTTTTTCTTTTAAGTTTTATTTATTTAATTTTGAGAGACAGAGAGAGAGAGAGAAACAGAGAGAGAGAGAGAGAGAGAGAGAGAGAATCCCAAGCAGTCTCCATGCTTAGCGCAAATCCCAACACAGGGCCTGGTTTATTCAGTGGGCTAGGGATATGGCACACTCAGAAATCGACTCCATTTGTTTTCATGACCCCTGGTCATTGTTGCAGCTAAATGTCTAACAAAAAGAAGCCAGTTAACTGAAATAATAGGGGCGCCTGTGTGGCTCGGTCAGTTAAGCATCTGACTCTTGGTTTCAGCTCAGGTCATGACCTCACAGTTTGTGAGATCACAGCCCTGTGTTATTCTCTATGCTGACAGTGTGGAGCCTGCTTGGGATTCTCTCTCTCCCTCTGTCTCTCAAAATAAATAAATAAACATTAAAAAAATGAAATACTAAAGCCCCCTGACAGAATTTTGGATTGTTATGTAATTCATATCTTTAAGAAATATTTTATCACAAAGAAAAATGATCTGGATGTAATGTTACATAAAAAAAAAAACCCCAGAGAACATGATAGTATCACATGTATTATAAAAATAGATGGAAAATTGTAAGGACATCTTACATATACATAGAAATAAAAATAAGATTTTATTTGGTAATGACATATGCCAAATATAATCAGAAGATATCTCTAAGTATTAGGGTTTTAGGGGATTTGTGCATGCCTCTTTATACTTTTCTGTGTTTTTTTTCAAGTTTTCTGATATAAACATGCCTTGAAAAAAATGTTTCTGATATATAAAAGCCTAATAAAACTTTAGCCTATTCCTGAAAAAAATTTTTTTTTTTTTTTTAGGGCAAGAAGGTATTTATAGATTATTTATTTTTTAAGTCAAAGAACTTAGAGAAAACCTTCCCTAGCTTCTCTGTGCCAGGGTTGAACCGCTTGCAAAGTGTTGTTGCATATGCTTGGCCAAAGCACAGGAGCACCAGGTCTCGCTGACTTGAGGGTGTCGACGTGCTGTGGGGTGGACTGGTGTGACGAGAGTGAAGTGTCATTATTTAAGGTGGCATGTTCAGCCATGGCTGTACAAAGGAATCCGCTAGAAAGTCTGACTTACTGCGCTGGGGTGGGGCCCTGGCATCTGTGCACTTTCACAAGCATCCAGGTTAGGTTAGTCTCCTGTGTAGCCGTTGAGAACAACTGGACCCAGAGCCTGCGTGTGGAACTTGGGCCCGGGGGGCCCGGTCTGATCCCATTTCTCTGGGTAACTGGCGGTGCTACCCTGGGCCAGTTGCTCAACCTTTGATATTTCAATTTCTTCCTCTGTAAGCAGGAACACTGACATCTGTCTGACCTGCCTCCCGGGGGTATTTGATACATTTCAGAAAGGATTATATGTGTGTGGCCGCTAACCCCAGCCGGGGTGGGGCCGCTTTGCACTGGTACCTACAGCCCTGTCCTGTTGTCTTATTGATACGGGTTCCTGGGTTGTGACGGGAGCGCCCTGCCAGGCACTGCACGGACCACACCGCAGGCTGATTCCTGGGGTTGTGGGCTGAGCTCTGAACCTGGTCCCAAACCTCAGTGTGACCTCATGCATGTCTACAGAGTCCTTCTGGCATGAAAGTCCCAGAAAAACTGACCCTCGGCACAACCAATCTGACACAGACTTACTTTAGGACTAGGAAAAGCCAGACAACTCTGTTTCAGTTTCTGCATCTGGAAAGTACGCTAACATGTAATATAAGGAGTGACTGAAACAGAAAACGTGGAGTGCTGGTGGAGTGCCTGGGTGGCTCAGTTGGTTGAACAACTGACGTCGGCTCAGGTCTTGACCTCGCGGTCTGTGAGTTCAAGCCCTGTGCCAGTTTCTGGCTGACAACTCAGAGCTTGGAGCCTGCTTCAGACTCTGGGTCTCCCTCTCTCTCTCTGCCCCTCGCCCACTCACGCTCTGTCTTTCTCTCTCTAAAATAAATAAAAACATTAAAAAAAAGATAAAGTTGTAAAATTGGCATAAGATACCCAAAAAGCGTGTGTGCCTGCATGCATGTGCATGGGTGTGTGTGTGTGTGCGTGTGTGTGTGTGTGTATGTGTACGTGTGTACCTGTGGGGTGTGGTGACAAGTGCACAGGACTGGAGTCAGCTGGATCTGAGCTTACATTCCAGTTCTGATACTGGCTATATACTTGGGAAAGTTATTAACCTCTCAAGGATGTTTCCTTATCCTCAAGATGGGAAACACAATAATGCTTTCATAAACTTGTTTGTAGAGATGTAAGAGACTATCTTGAACAGTAACATCTAACACAGATTGAATTTCCTATGTGCCAGGTACTGTTCTAAAGCGCTATATGTACATTAAGTCATTTAATCCTGATAAAAATCCTATGGGTAGATAACACTATAATACCCATTTTATAGAAAGGGAAAGTGAGGCACAGAGAGGTTAAACAATTTGCTGAAGGTCATATGGCCAATAAGGGGTGGAATGCTTTTAACCACTAAGCTGTGAACTGCCTCGTGCAGGCTTAATGTGGGGAAAACGCCTTGCCAAAGTCAGCTACCATTCGGTGACTTTGAAAATGAGCATGACCTTTTCACTGAAAATAAACCTTTGGAAGTCTCACTGTCTGTAACATAGTGAAGGTGAAGCTGCCTTGCTTGAAGTAAGGATGCGGTGTCCCCCACCAGCTACCCCCACCCCCTTCATGTGTAGCAGCCCTAGGTTACTTCTGGGGAGGCTGGAGTTCTGAAGAACCCAGTTTGAAAACTACCAGTCTCAGCTTTTGCCTTGTGTCTGTGCCTCTACTCTTCCCCCCTTTCCTGGTCCTGCTCTACCCCAAGCCCAGAAAATCAGCAGCCAGAAAACCAGACGCAAGAATATTTTCCCAGGCCCCCATCATGCTCTTGCTTTCCTCCCACATCCTCTGTGGCTGCGTCCGTGCCTAACCAGCTGAGATATAAGGGGCAGCCACCGGCAGGGGTGGGCTCCAGACTCACCAGTCTTATCCGAGTTGCAGAGAATGGTTTCCTTCTCGGCTCTCACACCGGGGCTGGGGCCATGTTTCATCCACATGGTGATGGTGAACTGGTCTGTCAGGTTCTTGGGCACTATGCCATCAGGGATCTTGGCCCCTTGCCTGCCATCGAACTTGAAGATCATCTCACTGCTGTCCACCAGCAGTCCTGCTGTCCAGTTGGTGGCCGCGCTGGGGGATGGCAAGAGGTCGATGATGCCAGAGGAGGCTCCTGCAGTGCACGGGGGACAGAAAGAACAAAGGGTTATTCCTCACGGGCTGGGTGTCCTCACCTTCTATTTTCTGCTCCTGGGTCAGGATGAAATACTCAGGGTATCTACTTAGAGATCTAAGCCAACCTGGAGCTGGGTGAGTCAGGAAAAGAAAGGCCAAATGCCACACCTGCCCCCTGTCCCCGAGTTTCGTATGGTCTGCAGAGGTGAAAGCATCAGTAACATGCAGACAAAAATGTTATAGGTGACAAGATAAGGTGCAATGAGCTATATTATATAAGGAAAACGGTGCTGGAATTTAGGGAAATGAGAATGGTGGGCTTTCATAAGCAGAGAAGTTCCCAGAGAAGGCCAGAGTTTGATGTGGACCAATGAATTCATCCATCCATTAACCCATGAGCCATTTATTGAGCCCCGACCATGTGCCAAGACCCCTGCTAGGCACTGGTGATGTAAAGGTGAATCAGCACAGCCTCTGACCTGGGGCAGCTCAGAGCCAACAAGTGGACACACAGCTGTGATACAGTGTGATCAGGTCTGTGATTGGGGAAAGTTCTAGGTCCCGATGCTGTAAGGAGTGTGAGCCACTTTGTACCCACCACACTTTTTTTTTTTTTTTACAACCATTATGTTTATGCCAAACGGTACAGTGGTCGAGAACACAGGTTCAGAAGTTAGCAAACTTGAATTTGATGCCTTGTAACATGACTTGCTGACCTTGGCACTGTGAGCACGTCCCTTAGCCTTTCTGCCTGTCCAGCTCCTGCTGTGACATCTCCCTTCCCAGTGGTTGTGAGGACTGAATGGGAGCCTGCATTAGAGCCTGAAGCAGCATGCTGGCCACGCGGTGAGCGCTCACTCCGTGTTACCTGTGACTTTATCCTTACTATTGTAACTATTTTTATTTCTGCTACTGCTATGATTCCAGGGTAATGCACGAAGACTAAGCCTGAAGAAGTGGGAGTGTCCCAGGTGGATTTATGTCTTAGGAAATTCACACCAACAGCTTTGTGGAGGGCGGAGCTGAGGGGGGCAGGGGTGGCCAGCCTGGCAGAGAAGACTGGATGCCTCTGCTGGGAGAACCCTTGGGTGTCCACCAGCTTCCCATTGAAGCTCAAAAGTTGCCAGCGGAGCTCTCTGCATCTTTATGTCCCACACAGGAGCAGAGCTCAGCTCTTTAGGGAAGGATAAGGATCGGGGGCTTCCTGATACTGGCAGGGAATAAGGTGTGCATGGTGCAGGAAGCCAGTGCTCTCCCAGGATGGCTCCAACCAGTCAGTCGTAAAAGCTGACGGGCTTAATGGACAGTGGTTTTGTGCATTACCGGATCTTTGTCAGAGGTCACTGGACATCTGAATTCTGTATATCAGAATCTCGTCTCACCTAGGGATTGGGTTCCAAAGTCAGCTACCACCAACATCTCCTATAGTTAAAATGACCTTTGAGAACCTTTCAGGAAGGTGCCATATTAGAAACCAATATACTTCTTGGGAAAGGTTCAAGCAGTCAGTTTTCCCTCTAGCCTTAGAACAGATGATCAAGTCTAGAGTTGAGCACCTGTTGGTTTGCAACTGAAAGTTATGCTATGTGAAAAACAGGTATCCTTAGAGCCAGAAGCTTTGTTTAGGGTGACAGACTCACCCTAGGAGAGGCCTCCAGGAACCACAGAGTCTGAGAGGGTGGGAGATTCCTGTCTGCCAATCCATGATCACCCTGCGGCTTCTGCTTATCAAGGAGAAAGTGTGGGCAGTATTGACTGCATTATTTACATGTGTATTTCCTAGGGTTTTGGGGTTGGTACCATGCCTGATACACAGTGCCATTAATAGACACTCATTTAATGTTTATAACTGCCCTTCTTCCCACCCAGGGCCTCCATGAGATACTTCTGGCCATCTATCCAATGCCCAGGTAAGCCTGCCCATTCAGCCTTATGTCTGTCCCCACACCTCTCATCAATATTTACTTGTTCTTTTTTTAAAAAAAAATTTTTTTTTAACATTTATTTATTTTTGAGAGACAGAGACAGAGCATGAGCCGGGGAGGGGCAGAGAGAGAGAAGGAGACACAGAATCTGAAGCAGGCTGCAGGCTCTGAGCAAGCTGTCAGCACAGAGCTTGATGCGGGGCTCGAACCCACAAACTGTAAGATCACGACCTGAGCCGAAGTCGGATGCTCAACCGACTGAGCCACCCAGGAGCCCCAATATTTCCTTGTTCTTATCTAATGTCCCTGAAGCCTTGTCTGGTATGCATTTTATTTCTCTGCTAAGTTGATTCACAGTAATATGCCTAACAAAGCCTTAAGGGTTATCAGCCTCCAAAGGTATCGGAAAGAAATCTATATGGGTGGTAGCAGGGAGAGATTTGAGGGTGGTTGGGGAGTGGGAGATACGCGGTCTTTTGGAGCAATTTCATTTTCTTAGAACCCTCAGAATAATGCAACATGGCAACTGCTTCTTGGACCTACAGGTGAGTTGGCTCTGAGACCAGGATTTGTCCAGTGTGGAGACGGCCCCGTGACGGGGCACTCTCAGAGATTGTGTCAGTTCTCGAAATTCCAGGTGGCCAGAGAGATGCAGGCTGAGTGCTCTGGGCTCCTAGACTTCCAGCTCAGGCCAGTGAATCCAGTGCAGTCTAGCAGAACCAGTGCGAACATGTGTGCCTGGTAGCTGCCAATGCCAGCTTTGCACCATACCACTATTATTTATTTTCCTAAGGACTGGTTTGGGCACTGAGCACCAGACCTGAACTAAGTACTACAATGCTTTTGCTTAATCATTCATCTACATGGTGAATACTATTATGATTCCAGTCTCAGGTAAGAACCTGAGGCTCAGTAAGCCCAGGATCACAACCAGCTACTGAGTGGGCCCATCACCAGGGTTTTGCAGCTCCAAAGCCCAGGCTCCCCACTGCACCGCCTCAATGAACCTGGAGGCAGATCTTGTAACCTGTGCTACATTTTATAAACAGAAATCAAAGCCCAGAGAAGGGAAATGACTTGACCAAGGTCACAGAGCCACACAGCTAGCTAGAGGCAGGCCCAGCTAATGTTCATTCTACCATGCAGCATGGTGTCTTGCCAAGCACACAGCATAGGCCCCTGGGATCCCACCCTCCTACACAGGTGGCTGTCCACAGAGAGTCAGGGTGAAGACAGCATGTGCCCTGGTAAGGCCATTGATGTAGGCTTCCCTGATTCCATGGCAAGGGGAGTGGCAGGGCCACCCTGCCTAACCCACAGATGTTGCCTACCAGAAAGCATCAAGCTGTAAGTAACCAGATGGTGCAGACTTCCCCAAACTCAACAGCTTGTATTTCATTTCTCGGCGCACTTAAACAAACTAAGAGAGACTTACTTTCTCCCAAAGTTCCTCTCTCTCTCTCCTCTCCTCAAGGGATCTCAGGGAAAGCTGTGGGTAAACAGGACGCGTCACTTGCAAAGATGGTGCCGCATCATCTGGAATCAGGGTGTATTTAAGGAGCTCTTTGGGAATCCTCTGTGAAGGCCCCTGGGACCCACCCGGCTGCTTAGAGTCCACACTGTTTCGGTGCACAGCAGTTGCAGGTTAAGCGTGGTGGACTTGGAACCAGAGTTGAGGTGTGAGTCAAGGTCCCCGAGGCGTAGAATGGGGAAGCCTCTCTGAGCCAGCAATTAGATAAAGATGTATGAATGAGATAGATTTCAGGACACACTGTGCTGTGAAAGCAAAAATGGAGCCCAGGGGCCCTGAACTTCTTAATTGCAGGGTTTGCATTCTGCTCTGGATGACTTTGGTGAGGGCAGAGTGTTCTTAGCACCTCAAGCTGGGCCTGTGGCAATGGTAATTGACATGGAGCCTCAGGTCATGTCTCCTTGGGGTCTGCCACAGGGCAGGAATAAGTGGAGGGTCTCAGGGTCGAGGAATCATTGTAATCAAAGACACAGGCCTCATTCTGGGGCACCTGGGTGGCTCAGTCAGTTCAGTGTCGGACTCTTGATTTCAGTTCAGGTCATGATCTCGGTTCAGGTCATGATCTCATGGTTCATGGGTTTGAGTCCCACATCAGGCTCTGTGCTGGCAGTGTAGAGCCTGCTTGGGATTCTCTCTCTCTCCCTCTCTCTCTCTCCCTCTCTGTCCCTCCCCCACTCATTCTCTCTCAAAATAAGTCAACTTTTTTTTTTTTTTAAAAGACGCAGGCCTCATTCTGTGGCATGCTCTTCCAATTGCAATATCAACTCCATACTATTTCAATAAATATTCATGCAATGTCTAGGTTACGCCAGGCACTGTGACGAGAAGCCAGGAACGAACCAAACAGAAGTTGGCCCTACCTTTTGGGACCCAGTAGAAGATCTTTTACCATTGGTGGGTAGAACAGGTCAGTGGCACAGTCTCAGGGGAGGACAGGGAGGCCCTCTTGACAAATGCTATACTAGGACTGTGTGGTGGTCGAATGCACCCTGTTCCCAACATGCTTCTCTGCCCCACTGATGTCACAGAGCCATGTGACCTGTTCTGACCAACAACATGTGAGTGCAAGTGATGTGTCCTCTCAGGGCAGAAGCCTTAAGAGACAGTTCATGGCTCTCCACATCTTTTCCGTGCGTCATGAGATCAACAGTGCTCTAGATAAAGGCTACCTGTTAGCCTAGATCCCAGTGGGAGGCCGTGTGGAAGAGAGCCACAGTCAACCCAAGAAGGACATGTGGTAGAGATGATAAATAAACCTTTGTTATAAAATAATAATATGCCAATAATAAACACCAATAAAATAACAATAGCCAATATGATTTTACGGTCACTGGTGGCTGGTGTATAACCTGCGATCCTGATTATCCACGTAAGTGACCGACATCAGAGCCTACGATTCCCAGTTCTTCTTCCGGAGGCCTTCGACACGGACATGTTGGGAAGACTTTCTGATGTCCTTTCAGGAGCTCACACGCTGTTGTCCCTACTCAGAGTGTCATTCCACCTTTGGGATCCCAGACAAGAAGGGTTCCTGCAAGGCCTTGCCATTGGGAACTTGGATCTCCAGGTGAAGCAAACTGGGCCCTGGAAGAGGGGTGGTCAGCCAGGCTCCTGAAGCGGGGCCATAGAGACTCAGTTGCTGACCAGCTTGTGCAAGGCCACTACAGGTAAAATCCTTACGCCCAACATGGGAGGGCTGCTGTAAGACAGCTGTTTCAATGATGCCAAAGAAATCAGCATATCCATGGAGAAGCTCCCCACTCACTATCATCTATGAGTCGGCCCTTTGCCCTTTAATCTGATTTCCAGTAGGTGTGTACCGATTTCCCTTTAAGCAGTAGGCCCACTGCTGCTCTCTGAGAATGGAAGTACTGGCTACATCTAAGGTTCTGACACTCCCCCCCTAGAAGCTCAGCCTTTTAAAGGCATCTTGGAGAAACTGACAATAGCTTCCTGTAGCTGGGCTATTCTTGGGGTACAAAAGCCTCTGACCATGATTATGAATGAGAGCAGCTCTGTTAAGCTTCATGGTATAATAGAAGATGATCTTAACTTTTTCTTTTCCAAGAAAATGTTTTTTAATGTTTATTTCTGAAGGAAAGAGAGACAGAGTGTGAATGGAGGAGGGGCAAGAAAGAGGGAGACACAGAATCCGAAGCAGGTTCCAGGCTCTGAGTTGTTAGCACAGAGCCCGACGTGGGGCTTAAACTCATAAGCTGTGAGATCATGACCTGAGCCTAAGTCGGATGTTTACCGACTGAACCACTCAGGAGCCTCTTAACTTTTTTTTTTTTTTTTAACATGTCTTCCCCAGAAGACTGAATTGTTAAGCGGTCTTATTAACTTCTATATAACCTCAAGAGTTGCAGCATTTGGACTCTCAACAAATATTTGTTAAATTAAAACACGAATGAAGGAATGAAAGAATGAATGAGCGAATCAGCTATGAAAATCTCCTGGGCTCTCAAATGAATAAGCCCTGAGAACAACTTAATGTCTGGTGATCTGAAGTGCTCTGACAGATCACCACTTGATTTAATAGGATGCTCTCATCCTGTGGCCTTTCCTGCAACAGAGCCTCTCCTCAAAGTTCTTGACTCGAGAGACAAAGCAGCTGACCCAGGTGACATATGTGGAGGTGTGGGCCAGCTGCCAGGAGCTTTGTGATCCTGAGGAGGACTAGCCTTTGGCCTCCGGGCTAGGAAAGGCATGTGCATCACAGACTGCTTTTCTATTTCCTGTAATATGTACTGACTTAGGGGCAGCGCCGTGGGCCTTTCCTGGGGCTGATGTTAATGTCAAATTTAATTTGGTCAAGAGGTCTTCCTAAGGGCTTCATGGGGCATCTCATACTCAAGGCAGTCCTGTGACACTTCATTTCTGGAAAGTCTGGTATTGAGATGATAGAACCCTTCATCTTGATCTCTGAATTCAGAGCAAGTGATAAGCAGTTTGCCCAACTTCATCAAGAAGCCTGGCTTTATGTAAAGCAAGGCTAGTGGGGGATCATCTTAGGCTATGTTCTACAAGCTGAAGGGGACACCTTTGTTACTGCACCTGTCAGATACTTGCTGACAATTGGCTTTGAGCTAGCTTCTGTCAGATTTCCCCTTGACCAGGATTCTATCACAGCTCCTAATGGAGCCGGCGTCACAAGTGGGGGAGGCAGGTGGGCAATGACCAGACATGCAAGATGCCCCTCCATGGAGACACCCCTGCCGGAACTCAAAGGAACCCAGGAAGCACCCCTAGGACAGCCTCCCTGGTGTACAGTGGGCAGGAGAATATTGACTGAAGGGAAAGGTTTGGGACGACGAAAAGGGGAGAGATTCTAGTGGGAAGAAAAATGAGCTAAGATTTAGGGATGAGAGCCAGCTAGGCACGGGGTCAGAGGAGGTGTCCTGGCCAAGAAGAGGTGCAACATCAGGAAAAAACCAGCTCTGACGATGGATCTGCTGGGTGGAGGCCGGGCCGCAGGAGCATCCAGACTCAGGCTAGCATTGGACACCCACATCTGGATGTTCCACAGGCACCTGACCTCAGAGCCCCCTTAAATCTACTCTTGCCTGGATTCCTGGTTCTGGCTGGTGGCACCCTTGTCCACTTAGAGGCTTATGCTAGAGTCATCTTAATTTCTTCTTTCTCACTGACAGCTGATCAATCATTGGTTAGCTTGCTGATTTTGCCTCCTAAAGCTGTCTTAAAGGCATCCCTACTGCCACTCCCCTGGTTAGGAACTCATTATCTCTTGCTTAGACCATGGCAATAACATCCTAATTGGTCTCCCTGTTTCCATCCAAAACCAATAGAGATTTGGAAGATGAAAAATGCATGACTGCTGAGGCTGAAAGTATCATGGCTGCTCCTTAGTTGGGAGAGCCTGCAAGCAACTTGTCTACCATCCACTGAAAACACACGGAAGCTTGTCCCCAGAACCTAAGATGCCCACAGGAGCAGGAATGATAACCCAGACTCTGTTTTATATGTGACCCAGCCTGCATTTCCCTTGCAGTTGGGAAAGAGCATGGGGTCCGATGAGCTGGCTTCTCCAAAGCTGACTCTAGCAGCAGATGCGCATCTGGGTTTCACTCATTTGCTTCTGCCTTTTTTTCCAGAGCTCTCCCTCCATGGAATTCAAGATTCAGACTCCTAACATGGAGGCAAGAGTGTTCCTACCCATCCTGTTACTCGGACAGAGTCCCCATAGGGCAGTGGGCGGCACTACCGGGGAGGTCACCAGAAAGACACCCAGACTCCCCCCCGCCGCTCCCCCAATAAAGAGTTGCTCCTGGAACCAGGTAAGCTCACATCTTGGGGGAAACCTGCTCTCCTCATTGAATGAACGTGCCTCCTGCAAGGCGAGGCTGGCAGCCCAGAAGGAATAAGCTGTGTTAACAACCAGATGCAATTTTGCTCTAAACTTTCTTCCCTGAGAAAATCCTTCTTGCTGTCCCCAGCAACATTCAAAATCAAATCACAAGTGCGTGCCCTTGGGCCCATCTGATCTTTAACAACCTGATTCCATCATCTCCTTCTAACCTGGAGGGGTTTAGGAAATGACTGTAACCCACCGTGGCACAGGTCGAGTTGACTTATAATCCAGGTGCATGGGGAGCGAAAGGGCATATTCATTCAGAGTAAGATGTCTGAGATGGCTTCTCTGCACGTGGGCTGGAGGCAGTTTGCTGAATACTGTGGGCCCCTTCCATCCATTTTTGCAGGAGCTGTCTGGAATATTGAAGTTGTGGTGTTCTCCCCAGCCTACTGCATTGTTCTGGAGAAGCCCCATTCCCGCAGGCCTTCCTGACAGCCTGGTGACATGATAAATGGGACATAGCCTAAAGAGGGTCCATTCCACATTCACTTCTAAAATTTGCACCTGGTTCTTTGGGCAAGAGCAGGGTGGGTGAAGACGTGTGTGTGTATGTGTGTGTATGTGTGTGTGTGTGTGTGTGTGTGTGTGTGTGTGCACGCACACATGAGTGCATGTGTGTGTGTGTGCACAGCAATGTTGATGGAGGGAAACTGTCCCAGCAATAGTAGTGGAGGGGTCACCAGGAGTGGATGGCAGCCTGCATTGTATCCAGGAGGGTCCTTTTCCTTTTGTGGAGATATAGTTACCCCCAAATATAGGTCTAGTCTAAGAGCAAGCTCTTTTCTAAGCTCCCCGCAGCACAGCTGGGGAATCAAATGGGAGTTCCTGAATATTCTTGGTGAGAACACAAGACAAACGAAATATATGTCGCCCACCTCACCCCAAGGCCCATCAACACATCAACGGTCTGGTTTACCAAGCACATGGGACCATTCCCACTGTACTGAGCACTCCACAGGCTGACTGAAGAGATTTACATTCTAGCTCCCAAGGCCTGGCCTGTCTCCTCAGATATTGAGCTAAACAGCCTTCATTCAGGTAGAACCACCTCCAAATTCTGTCTCTGTCACCTTCTAACTGGGATCGTGAGCAAGCCATTTTTCTTCTCTGGGCCTCAACTTTCCCATCTTTAGAACTGGATGAATAACAGCCTCCTTGCACTGAAGATGAGAGAATTAAATCAAGCGATGCATGTGAAGAGCCTAACAGGTGCACAAAGTCACTGCTCGGTAAAGTGGTTTCCTTGTGCAGCACCTTCATCAGTCTCACTTCCTTGCTCTTGGCAGCTCCTTTCCTGTGGCTTCGCCTCACAGAGGCAGTGGGTCCTTTCTGTCACACCGGGACACCTTCACCTGGGCCACCTCTGCCCCCACGCCAGCTCTTCTTCTCTGGTGTGGGCGGCCAGGATGGCTTTACTGGCATGCCACCTAAGCTGTCACATAGGTCCCATGCTTGGCCTGGGTCCCTGGCTTGGTTTAATGCTTTGCTGTTGCAGCCTTAAAATTCTTACGAGTTTCTGAACAAGAGCCCCACATTCTCATTTAGCCTGGGCTCTGCAAATTATGAGCTTGTCCCTTGGGAGAGGAAACCGACCGCTCCCCGAGTGATAAGACACCACCCTTCACCCTGGCCCCTGATCAGGTGCCTCTTTCAAATCAACACAGTGGAACAGAGCCCGTGTTTCTTCAGGCTCCACGGTAGGTTGTCTTAAGTGCATTGTGTCATTAATTGCTGATGAAGAGAGGAGGCTTTGTCCCATGCCTTGCCCACAGCCACACAGTTGGTAAATGGTGGGACCTGGTCAGGTGTGCCCAGTGCCCAGACCTGTGCCATCTGAACCCCTAATCATAGTAAGTAAACTTAATAATCATCCAGGAGGTATATATGCCGATGCGGTGGGCAGGGGCTAATTCTTTTATAATATAAGATATGCTTTGTATATCATTTTTACCCACCACACAATTTCTGAAGGGATCTCTCAGAGTAGGTCTCCCGGTCGCAGCCCTTGCCAATGTAATTGGTCTGTAGCTCCGTGGTGATCTGGATGGAGGACACGGCCCCGTCGCACGTCTCCAGGTGGATGCTGGGGAAAAGCGGCACGCTCCCCGAGCCAGGCTGATACTCAATCCTCTTGGTCCAGTCTGAATAAACGAGGAAAACATTAAAGGCAATCAGGTACAGCCAGTTCTGATGGAACACGTGTCTTTGAAAATGTGAATTTGTTCCAATGCAATTGACATCTTAGGGAATGACTTGAGGATAATGGGAATTTCACATTTGCCTAGGCAAAATCTCCTACTGGAGAAACACTAGGCGAATGCAGAAAACGGTAGCCAGCTGAGCTGAGCCAGGGAGGAATGCACAAAATACGCCCGTGGACACACCTCCAGCACCTCTCGGTGCCGCAGCCCACTATGCGTTATAAGCCACATCCACCTGCACCGGCAGTTGCAAATTTCCATCCCATCCAGAGAGCCCTGCGTCCGCCCCGCCACAGTACTGCCCCAACTGCCACCCTCCCCCGTCCTCTCTACATACAAACACCAGGTCTTTTCAAGGGGAAGTGCCGTGCTTATTGTAGTACTAATATATTTCTGAGCCCTTTAACGTGTGTAAAACTGTGCTAATATTTTTTTCTTTGTGCCCTTTTTATCTGTCACCGATGACATTTCTGAGTGTTATGCCCCTCGCTCCCTGCTCCCCATTTTGTCTAGCGGGGTGCTTTTTAGGAACGCGTATGTCTTGTCACAAAATATGAGAGTACAGTAGTTCAGGATTACTTGGGGTCATGAGGTGGGGAGCGAGGATTCTTTCCCAAGCATTCAGGACCGTGGCTCACTTAAGGAGGGCTGATGGTCTTATGACTTCTTTTTAGAGGAAAAATATTTTGGAGGTGATCAAGTGTTGAAGAGGAACAAAACCACGATCAAAATGGCACCACACGAAATAGAGCAATCAACGAAAATAAACACCAAGAGAGAGTGTACACATGAATTGACCGGAACAGCAAAAGCAGCAATTGAAAGTCAGAGCAGAGTCCAGGCAACGCTCACACTGACCGGCAACAGTTCTTGCTGACGACGGCAGGCATACCACGCTCTGTGAGGACACATGTCTGAGAGGTCTGTTCGACCCTAAGCCAGACGGGTGGGTAGAATCAAGGAATGTGACCTATGGATACTATTAGTTTATGAATCGCAAATGTTTGTCACACAGAACCTTGCTAGAAGGTATCCTTTTGCTGAAGCAGAAATAAAAAGCTATGACATTGCCTGCGCTCACCTGTGAGAAACTGAGAAAGCCTGGCCTGAATGGGTCAGTGTTCTTCACAAGTGCCCAGTGGGCCACTGTCTGCCATCTTTAGCAATTCCAGGGGAGGGGCCAGATGCCTTTGTTCACTGAGCATGCGTTTGTTCAGGGTTTCCATGTCCTAGGCTCTGTTTGGAGCATCAGGGATGCAGCAGTGGAGTCAGGAAAGGTCCCTGCCTTGTGGAGCTGGGGTGAGGGGTGAGGGTTGGGGGGAGGGTTGTGCTATTCTATCTGAGAGGGTGAGTGTTATAAAAGGAAAAGTCGTGACAGAGAGAGACTCTTTAGATGGAGAGAATTCTGGTTTGAGCTGAGGTCTGTATGTCAAGGATGAACGTATGTGGGAAGACTCAGACAAGCAGGTCGGAAGCAGATGCCCCAGTGATCTTGGTTTGACTCTGCCTGGTCAGGAAGTTCTTGGGCAGGTTAATGAAGGTCTCCAAGCCTCAGGCACCTCATCAATAAAATAGGACACAATCATTGCACGGATCTCAAGTGTGGACTTGGAGGGAGGACTGAGGGCTTCAAGTGTGCATGGCATGCAGGAAAGGAAGGAGATGTTCAGTCCAAGGGGACAGGTGTCCCCTGCATTCCATTCCGGATAACCATGGAATCTGAGTTTAGGTCTGATTTTCTCAGAGTGTGCCGTGAACAGAGACTGCACACAGGGTTGTGAGGCTGGTCACCAGGAACTTACCACGGGAGGATATTTGGATAGGGACTTCATGCGAAACAGAATGTACCTGATTGCATGCTTTTCCTCAGAGCCCCCAGGAACTGTGTCTGGCCTAGCCCATCACCTCCTGGAGGATGAGATCATGGAGCTGCTCTGAGCCATGCTCCAGAGGCCCCAAGTTCAATTAAGATGAGCCGCTGGAGGACAGGAAGTCCTGTCAGATGCATCTGAAGGTCACAGAGCTGTCAGAAGCAGTCCACACCTGACAAGCCTTGAGTCTTAGGTACAATGTTTCATGCCTCTGTGCAGTTGATCATGCTGTTTTTTCTATAGAGAGCTCCCTTTCTATCCCTTTCTGTTTTGTTAACTCCATGCAACCTTTCTGACTTTCTCTAGTCTGGGTAGATACACTCCTCTGTGCTCCACAGCACCCTCAGCCTTCGACACAGCATTAGACTCCAAGCTTCATGGTTCCTCCGAGTCCCCCTCACGCTCCATGCCCGGTGCCTGGCACAGAGTAGATGCTCACTCGATGTTGGTAGAAAGTGTGAATGAATCCTGTAAGATTCAGTTGTGTGCTTGCCTCCCCCAGCACCTGGATGCTCCTTAAAGGCAGGGATTGCTATGTTTATTTTTGATGACTCTACATTGAGGTCACAGCGCAGGGTGGACCTGGGGAGCCACAGATACCTAGCCGTGACTGCTGCCGTGGCAGCCTTTCTTGAGCCACAGAAAGAACTTGTGGCCTATCTGCCCCGTCGCCGGTACTGCCCCTTGGTTGACCCCGACCTCAGTCCTACAGAACCACCTAGCCTGACAGCAGCCCCTAACATGTTCATTTTTGTTTGTTTGTTTTCATTTTCTTCTCAGGCAGGAAGCTGGGCCAGAACTGATGATGGAACAGTCTCCCTCCTGATAACAAGAAATGGCATCAAGGAGGAGGAGGCCTTTTTCCCTTCCCTGCCTCACCCCTCTTTCCCTGGATCCTCCCTTTCTTTAGAGATGCAGCTAGAAAGATGGAGAAAATGGTTTTGTGTAGCAGGTCTTGGTGTGAGTCTCAGGGACCAGTTTTTGAGGTTCTGCTACTTCTGCTGGTAGAAGCTCCTCCCACATTGCCTCCTTCTGGAAGTCTCTTCATTGGAGAAGCCCAAGCCATCCATGGCATTGATTCCCTTGACACTGGGGGCGCTGCAGCTATCTAGATATTTTGGTGGTGATCTTTTTTTTTTTTTTTTTTTAATTTTTTTTTAACGTTTATTTATTTTTGAGACAGAGAGAGACAGAGCATGAATGGGGGAGGGGCAGAGAGAGAGGGAGACACAGAATCTGAAACGGGCTCCAGGCTCCGAGCTGTCAGCACAGAGCCTGACGCGGGGCTCGAACTCGCGGACCGTGAGATCGTGACCTGAGCTGAAGTTGGACGCTTAACCAACTGAGCCACCCAGGCGCCCCTGGTGGTTATCTTTGATGAGACATTCTACCTCAGGTCCTTTTTAGAAGGAATGAAAATAAAGAAGCAAATAAATATTGAAGAGAAGGTGAGTGGAGGCGCAGGCCGAGTAGAAGGTTCATTCCTCTCCCCATCCCCTGGCAGGGGTGAAATTTCCTCTTTGGGAAGAAATCAGGTACGAAAGACAGTTGGGAACATCACATCTGCAGCTGCTTTGGTGACCTCATGAGGCTTGCTTTTGAGGGTTTACGAGGAGCAGGCAAATTTGCAACCATATAATAAAAGAAATCGATGAAGCTTTCTGAGTGTAGTGTCCTTGAGAGAGTGGGCAGCTCGCACAAACATCTTTCATTTTCCAAGAAGGAATTTGGGATGGGGAATGAGAGAGCAAAAGGCAAATCATCAAATTCAGCCTCTGTCACATGAAATGTCTATTCATCCTCATTTCCTGGAGGTCGGATAGCAAGATGGTTAAGACTATGACTAAATTCAGTGTGCCTGAGTTCAAACCCCACCCTTACTGCTTCCTGCAAAACGTTTACCTTCTCTGAGCCTCAGCTTCCTCTTATGTGAAAGTGGTGCCTACTACCCAGGATTTGGGAGGGACTAAATGCAGACTCGTTTCAGCACCAAACACAAGGGTTATGTTCAATAGATACATTATTGTTAAATTATCATTTATTCAATAGCACTTATTGCAGGAACTAAAAGGACGTACAATTATTAAGCACCTACAAGGTGCTAAGCACTTCTACATCTATTCTTTTGTTTGGTTCTCCCAACAGCCCAGTGATTAGTAACTTAATTGTGCAGATGAGAAAGCCATGGTTGACAGCTGGTATGACTTGCCCAAGGCCATGCAGCTCTTTCGCAGCAGCTCGGCCATGATTCTGAGGATTTGCCAGGAGGGAGAGCAAGTGTAATTTTTACAGATTCATTTTTGAATGTTTGATTTATACTGATAGATAGATAAAGATATAGACATAGATATAGATATACAGATATAGACAGATCTATCTATATAATGTATATTTTATATATTATATATACATATATATTAT